CCTCACTCCACCACTTACAAAATTCAACATTCCCAAAGCAGCGGGTCAGTGTGTCGCACCTTGTTAAAAAAAAAAAAACACAAAACAAAACACATAGGAGCAATGGGTTATTCCTGACTTAGCGGTGAATTGAAAAAGTAGGCAATGGCAGAACCTGTACAGAGAGAGTATATGGCCGTTTAAAAAAAAACAAAAAACAAAGCTTAATTTGGCCCACAGCAGACTGGAGAGCAACAAGTTAAAGTCTAATTCAGTCCTTTCGACAGCAAAATGTGCATTTCAGAATGGCCTTAATTGTGCGAGAATAGGGGGTAGGAGTAGGAAAGTGGCTGCAGGTGGACAGGGAGCAGAGATGCAGTGTGAGCTGGCTAAAGGGACTAGAGCAGCCGTGCCTTGAGCTCATGGCACCACAGGCTAGACGAGTGGTGTGGGGATGGTCCGTGGGCTGGAACATACCCTGCATGGCCTTAGCTGCCCTTGGATGGAAGATTGGGACCTGGTGCCTGGCACCAAGCCCTTCCTGCCCTGGACCCCTGATCCAGCACATGGGGCCCAGTGCTCCCCACAGGTCTGGAAATTTGGCAGCGGGGGGTGGTACCTACTGCTCCTCTAATGACAAATTTTTGGACCCATGGGGAGCCCTGCAGGCCTAATGACACAGTGCTAGGGGCCAGATGTTGCCCCGGGGGCCAGGGGCAGAGTACAGCTGGACGAGAGCAAGAGGAACAATTCAGCAAGTGAACTGACGTAAAAACACTTAAATGTTGCTATTTTACAGGGTTTTCTCCCCTCTCTCCTTTTATCTAAATTCTGGAGCTGTATCATTTGCCCAAAGATAATTTAGAAGAAAAACATTTGGGTTTTTTTGTTGTTGTTTTTTTGTTGGGTGGGGGGGTTGTTTTGCTTTGAGGTTTTTTTTGCTTCTGTTTGCACAGGGGTATTTTGTAGTTGTAGGATGTTCATGTGGATACAGAAATGATAGCACATCAGAACCGGAAGCCCATTCGCTCTTCTTTGTGTGGAACACAGACTGAACACCTGGCGCTGTCGTGTTTAATGACCAGCCACTGTTTTCATTTAATATGCACTACGGGGTGGTTTTTTTTGGTTGCTTTTTTAGTCACTGCACAAGAAATATAAGGTGGTTTCAGTTTTGTTCAGCAGCAATCTGCTTATGGCAGGGAAGCTGTAATTAAAATTAACCAGTTTGTTTTGGAAGTGGGCACTGATGGGTAAATATGTATGTTAGCTATCTTGTGGCAACTTTTTGTCATAATTTTCGAGCCAGTGCAATCACCTAAGTCTGACCTGCATAACGTAAACTATGGCATTTCACCCAGTGATTTCTGCAAGTAACTTGTGGTTGAACTAGAACATCTCCTCTGGAAGGACATTCACTATTGATGGCAAGATTGAAACTGTACTGTTCACCACGCCAATTCCATTTAACAAGCATTGTGTCAGGTTGTGTGTTTCGGATGATTGAACGATGAAGCCATATCAGATCATAAGCATAGACAAAGACGTGCATGGAACATGGAATAATTGGCAAGGTTTTTCAGAATGCCCCTAAACTCCAGACACGGATATAACTTCTGGAAACTGGGCATTTTCTAATCCGCTGCTCTTGAGACAAGATAGTCCACATTTACCTTCCTGATTAGGACTGCTGGTATCTACAAGTAAATGAGAGCAACTTGGGACTGATGGCAAGTTTGATCCAAGTGGAGGGAAAATGTGGAAAAGTTGTTCTGGTAGCTTTATTTTGTTTTTTTTTAAACATACGAAATTGCAGAAGTCAACTCTGAACTCCTTCTGGAAGTAGCTTTATCTTCTTCCTTGGTAGGAAAGCTCCACCTTTCATAAACTTACAGTCATTGTCATACATCACAAGCGGGTAATGTGAATGGAGAATGTAATTCATTAGGCTTTGGGGCTTCAGGGTACAAATGTGCTATACCCAAACCTTGCAAGTGGTGATTAAACACAACTGCTGAAATCTCTTCTAGTGCTTCAGAAAGGAGGCCAAGCCTACGATGGTATCTTTTGGTTCTGCCTCCGACATTGCTTATCTACTGAATCGTGGCGATTCTGTTAACCTATTTTAAAATCTGACCGCTGTTGTGGAAAGGGTTGTATTTGGATTGGGGAAGGGCAGTGGATCAGATGATTGAAGTTTATGAGTCAACACTTGCTACTTGTATTGCGAGGCCCAGCTGATCCCTTGGAAGTTGGTTCCATTTTACAGATGGGTAAACTGAGGGTTCAGTGGTTATTTCCCAGGGGTCTCACAGCAGGTCATTGTTAAAACAAGGAGTAGAACCCAGCTTTTTTCTCTTCCAGCCCTGTACCATGGGCCAAGTTGCCTCAACATTTTACATTGGTCCTTCCCTTCTATAGGCAGAGGGTCCGGCTAGCAAAATGCAACTGTTCGATGAATGCTCTTTGGAACGATTTTCTTCACGTTTTTATCTCTGTAAACTCATAATATGGACCTTCTCTTTGTACTCTGTTACCTGATGCTGCAAAGGCAGCATACTCATGGTACAGCGTGCAGTAATGATGATGTGGAAGTCCTTCCAGCCCCAGGGGCTGCCTGCGTATGATTTTGTTGGAAGCACAAAGTGCACTTTGGGTTAGATGCTGGCAGATGATACTGTGACTTGACTGATCTTCATCCCATGCAGTTGGTTATAGCGATGCATTGCACTGCGCTGTGGGATAGAGACGTGGGTGTTTCGGCATTCTTTTCCTTCCATTACTCCTGCCATCTTTCTTTGCTGTAAAAGCATGTAACAACATAAGAAGCGTGGGCATGGTAGGGGAAATAAGTGGGCCTTTGGCAACCGAGCAAAGCATTGCCGTTTTTGACGGTGCGAAGCGCCAGTGAGAGCAGTGGTCAGAGCAGCGCTCGGCAGTCAGTCCTGGTGACATGGTGATGGTCTTGTCGGAAATCTGGTGATGGGTGGAGGCAGGTTTCTTCCTTTCGCTCCGATTCCTTGGTTAAGAGCCTGGATGCTTTTATTACTCCTTTCTCTTGCACTTTCACTGGCGTGGCTGACCCAGTGGCTTAAAAGACACAGGGGCAAGTGAATCAGCTTGCTTACAGGTGTTTAATCCCAAAGTGCCAATGGCTGATGGGTGACTCCTGCGTCTGCTTGGTGGGTTTCCTAGCAGTCAACCCATAGCATTTTCACTACCATGGAGGGTTGGGGTTTGGGTGAGGTCGGTCCTACAGCATCGCTGCACACAGGGGGGTGGGAAGTAGGGTGGGTACTGAGGTGCGTGGCATGATGCCCTGCTCACCCACGAAAGGCCGACTTCTCCTCCATGCTCCCTTTGCTGGGGTTACCTGACCCCCCCCCCCCTTACCTTTCCTGCTTGGTGCAGGGGGCTGGACCCGACGATCTTCCAAGGACCCTCGCAGCCTCGCTACCTACGCATTTCCCTGCTCCCCGGCCTAGGGGAAAGTAGCCATTCGCCCAGCACGCCAAGATTTGGCCCGGGACATCCTCTGCCTGGGCACTGCCTGAATGTCCCCCTCCCCGCCCCGGAGACGAGGTGCTTTGGCTGAATGTAATCTGGACTTGATATCTTTTATTAGACCACCTGGACTTTTTCCACAAAAACAATAAAAGTGGCATCTCTGATCAGACCCTTCCAGCCCCCAGCCCCCATG